GTGGCCCCCGGCGCCCTGGGACGCTCCCTCGTGCTGTGGAGGCCAGGGCAGCCGTTCGAAAGACGTGGACACCCCCCCACGAAGGAGCAGGTCTCTGCCCGAGGTGACCCAGCAGGACCGTGTCCAGTCAGGCCTGGGCCCAGCCTGCGCCTCCACCTCACCACGCTGCTGGCGAGCCGAACCAGTGGCCAGCCTTCTCCCTCCGCAGCTGAGACTGTCCCCATCTTCCCCGCTCATTCCGCAGACACCACCACGCCAGGCCAGTGCAATGCATTGGCAAGACGGGGACCCCCTCTGTGGCCCTGTGCTAAGGGGGGCTAGTGGGAGGGGTGATGGACACAGAACCCATCAAAGGAGGACCTTGTTCCTTGGCCGCCCCTGAGCACCTCGGTCTGGCACAGGGCGGGAGGGGACCAACGTCGGCCTACATGTCCGGGGTCCAGCAGAGCTCATGAGGGGTCGGGGCTGGCTTCCACGCCCAGCGAGGACGTGGGTGAGGGCAAAGGGCCAGGACACCGGTCTGTGACATGAGCACAAGCCTAGAAGGCTGAGGCCACAAGATCAGAGTGGCCAGGGGACATGCAGGTGACACTGCAAAGGTGTACTCCCACTGCCCTCCCCTGCCCAGAAGTGGGGGGTTCAGCTGGCTGTCACACGGGCTTCTGCCAGCGGGAGTCTGTGCCCTGAGCTGGCTGGGACAGAGACCCGGGGGTTCCCGGAGAGGGTGGTGACCAAGTTTTCTCACCGACTCAGCTGCGGTGCCCATGCGTGGAGGACGGCCCCAGGTGGCACGACAGTGGGACCCAAAGCCCTCGCTTTCTCGGGAGACTGTGGTCTGGAAGGGGTCACATTTCTAGAAAGACAGGTGGTGGTGGTGACAGCAGTGACGGGCAGAGGGTGCTGCCGGTAGAAGTTGGAAGGAGCAGTAGAGCCTCAGCCTAGCAGACAGCTGAGGACTGCCCACAGGGTCAGAGCAGGGTGCCACTGCCCAGCGTCCCTGGTCCCCTGCAGAAACAGACCTGAGGTGGCAAAGTGGGCAGCCCAGCAG